ATACATACATTCATACATACATACATACATACACACACACACACACACACACGCGCGCGCGCGCGCGCGCGCGTGTGTGTGTGTGTGTGTGCTATAAGCGCCCATATCTGAGGTAAGTTGTACCGGTACTGCTTATTTCTTGTAACTGTCTCATGATAAGAAAATTATTCCTGCCTCTATTTAAAAAACTAGACTTCCCAGCAAACACAATATTATATGTAACGTACATATACAATTTCCACGTAACACACGTGTTATATAACAGTTACATTGTTGAGTACGAAATTTTGACTAACATGTACGTTACATGTAACATTGTATTTGCTGGGCTAAGACAAAGACAAAAAGTTATCTCTGATTGTTATCAGCATTGTCTTTTCAAAGACATAAGGTTGCTTCTAATCACCCTGTATATAAAGAATACATAGTTAAATAAAAAGTTTAATAAAAAAGAAATGTAATCCATTGCTTATTCCGTGGAACAAAGTATCTTCGATGTTACAAGGTCAGCTGAATCATATGGTATATTACGTAACTGTTACTTTTTTATACAACAAAATAACAGTTTCATAATATACCATATGATTCAGCTGATATTGTAAAATCGATGATATTTTGTGTGTCCTGGATATTGTACCTGTCATTATGGGATGTTTTGGAAGAATGCTGTCAGCCTCTTCAGACTCTTCACTGGATTCTATGACTAGTTTCCTAATATTGTTGTGGACTGTTTTATCAACTGATGAAAAAAATAATTTAAAATATACATTGGTAAATTGTTATCAAATACACTACAATATTATGAACTAAAATAGACTGTACTATTATGAAATAGGCTTTACTAATAATGACACAGGAATAAATAAAAAAAAATTGTTGTTAATTTTGAAACAAACTTTTCATTGTCTTCCGTTTTAGGCAGCCGCTGTTATATTGATCATAATCATCGGTGTCACTCAGATACAATGGATTTTTTTTTCTTTTTCGTTTTATGCTTTCATCAATCTCTGAATTTAAGTCGGATGTACATTCTGCTTTTTTTATTTTAAGTCTTGCTGTATTGTAGTCATCTGAAATTATGCAAATAAATTTTATAATAGTATAAAAAAGATTTATATTATATAAATTTATATTAAATATTAACGTTATAAGTTATAGTAAACGGAAACGCTAGATGTGTGTGTATATATATTGCTTTACTTCTAGAAAAATAATATTAATTTAAATGTTGATTTTTCTACGTTCAATAATACTAACCATATGTGCTATTTCGAAACATAATAATATCGTAAGATGGCCAACATGTGTTTCGTTCCATATTTTTTCTTATTGCAGCGATAATTTGTTCATATTTAAATGGAGGCCAATAGCATTTGTTATGTTCTATCCAGCTTGATGGTACTGCTTCAACGGTGTTATCCGTCGAGAACTTAACTATCGTCCACGTCGGTTTCTCCATTGCTACACAAATATAAAAGCAGGAGTATAACAATATTTCATAGATTGCGAAAATAATAATACACCAAAGTATCGCATCTTTTGAGTGTATAATGTATTTCTTTTTTAACGCTTTTACTATTAACTATTTTGACATTGGAAGCTACGACAAAAAGCACAAGCAGTTATTCTATTGATATTATATATAAATGTATGTACTTAGAATTTTTACATATACTTTATTAGATATACAGTAGCAACCCAGGCAGCAGAATGACATGTTAAGACGTCTTAATGACGTCACAGACGTCATTAAGACGTTATTAATACGTCATGTGACGTCACTCTGCCGCCTGGGAAGGAAAACTAATAATTTATAATTGTGAGTGTAGCAAAGGAAAAATAACATGTGTCTCTTTGTAATGTAATTTAACACATTTATTTGCGATTTGGTCCAAGTTCCACATTTGTAAATTGCCGAGATCACATACTTCATAAATATTTAATTTTGAAGATTTGCAAGGTTCCGTATAAAAATCCGTAAGTTTCTTGTACTTCTTTCCAATTACAATAGTATTCTTGTTATTAGAAGCAAAATTTAAGACAATAATAATACTTCCATCCAGCAAACAACAACAATTATTTGGTTCTTTATTTGTTAATAAGAATTTTTCAAACACAACCTTACTAAATTGATTATAATTGTGACAATTGATAAGCGGGCCATTTGAGTGTGGATTTAATTGAGGTTCATGACATTGTTTCAAATGTGAATTAAGATTAATATAATTGTTTTGTTCGCTTATCCGACAAACAATTTGCTCCAAAGGCTTGTCATTTTTACGTATCATTTTTAAAATAGATTGCATATAATTTTCGAACGGAAAAGCACTGAAATTTTGCAGTAATCCAAATCTTTTCACATCATCGGAAAGATGTAACAAATTATGCGTATTATGTGATGCATTCTTTTTACCATACAGAATAATGAATGTTTCAATATAATATCGTAATAATAATTTTGCGTAATCAAAATGCACTTCAATATACTTTATACTAGATAAAATAGTGATAGCTGCATGTAAAGTTATAAAATTTAAATATTTATCATGATTAAGTACAGATTTTAATACAAACGGCCCTGTATATAATAAAAATGTCCTATATTCCGTGGCTTTCCATCTTTTACTTTCTAATAAAGATCGTGGTTTTCTATTAAACTCGCATGGTATATTGTGTTTTTGCTCTTCTAACAATGTTGATATAATCGATTTTTGTTGCGATGATAATTTAGCACCGGGTTTTCCGTAGCCCCATAAAAGAACAAGTTTTTTAACTTCTCCCAAAAAAATTAAGTGCATGGGATCTGATGGGAAATCATACACCATATCTACATTTGGAATCAATTCTAATATCGATGTACCTGTGTGGTGATCTGGCTGTGATTTTAGCCTGAAGTTTTTGTCTGTTCTTACATTGGAAATGTCTAAGTACGGGAAACACACTCTATTAAGAAAATATTTGCCTTTAGCTTCACATTTTGTGCACGAATAAAAACCTGAATGCCCTTTTGTATATCTTATAAAACATTTTGCTGGTAGGTCACAAATAAAAGCTTTAATTTTAAATGGATATATTATTCCATTAACTGTTATACCATGATTTATTAAATTTTGGGCTTCTTTTACAAAATTTTGTAAAAAATGATTGGCATCTGCAGGCTTTTGATATCCATGATAAATCCCAATAATGCCAACGTTAGTATAATTGGTAACCAAACTACATAAGATAGGATATACCTGACTCCCTGAACTTTTAAACAAAGGCAAGCCATCAATATTTATGATAATTTCAATTAATTGTATATTTTGAAAATGATGCTGCGATTTTTGTATAAGATTTTCTACGCAATTACTTATACCAAAATGATAATAACGCCCTGGTTCAACATTATCTGTATGTACCTTCCTTACAGTACCTAACAATGTACGAGCATCTGTTGGGACTTCTGGATATCTAGGTTTTATATATTCTAACAATTCATTTAAAGCGACATGAGTTATTCTATGTCTAATAGCCCATCCTTGCAACTGTGAAGTAAATCTTACATTACCATTCTCATATTCCACATTATCTAAAACATTGTGATAAACTGCACTAACATCATTAATATAGCTATCTGTATCATTGTTTTCCTCCCTATAAAGAGCTTCTTCATTATTTATTAATTCATAATTATCGTTGTAATTTTCTTCATCACTTGGGTCTGATAAAGTTTCATCTAATTCTTTATTAAAATCAATTGTATTTACACGTTCATGTCTCTGAAGCTCTACTGATAATATATTACTTGAATCAGTACTTAAAACTGAAGATGCATCAGAAATATATTCAACGCTATTAACAGATGCATCAGCTATCTGTTTGGCTCGTTTATAATATTTTCTATTTACTTTGGGCATTATATATAATGGAACAGTAATCATACATCAAAGTAAATTACAAAGGAAATCACAGTGAATTATATAACTCACAATACTCACCGAATAGTCGAATTGTGTACAATCTGCGTAATACCTACAACATAAAGATGTAACTTGCATATCCATATCATCTATCTAATTTTCTTTCTATACTTACTTGTAAAGTAAGTATAGACACATTTACAATTACAATGCAGTCTACTTACCAATTTATTTATAATGATAGGTGCGCACGGGAAATTTTATACTCAATATTCGGAACAACAATCGTTTCTCGATGTTACAAGACGGTGGGCAACTGGTAGAGGTTAAGTTTGTTCTTTATAGCTGCACTCAGAGTGCGTTCCACTTAACGGTCGCGTCGTTGCGAGCCCCAAATGAAATATATGTTTAAGACGACCTATATATACACATATCCACACACACATATGTATACACATAAATATATATATATACACACACACACATACGAACAAACTGTAAACACCTCTTAAAGCACACTCAGTGCCCACTAGTGCAAGCAATCAAATTCACTATTACAATTTTTGGACGTCAATGTCCATTGACGTCCAACATTGGACATCATACGGATGTCCTAATATGGACGTCTTGATGTGTCCAAAATCGGATATACGATGGACGTCCATTTTATGTTCATGGACATGCGGACGTAAAATGGACATTTAATGGACGTCCATAGGACATCTTGTGCTATCTGGGTACTATACGGTAACTCATAGCACGGAACAGAACCAAACTCAAGTATTCATATCACGGAACAAAACCAAAATGCGTTACCATGCAGTAAACGTGCTACACAAGGTTCTCATTCCTACCGCTAACTACTATGACTCCACCGTCAACACGGACTTCTTCGTTCACTCCCCAGGAGCCTTAAATTCCATTTTACCCCTGCCTGACTTGTCATTGTTATCGCAACATTCTTTATATTTCTTTTGTAAGGCGTTCATTTTCCATCTAACTTGATCATTAGATATCTGTTAAAAGAAAACACTATTTGGAACAAAAGCATTGCTATGATATAATATATTACAAGTATGAGATAAAATAAATATATTATAATTAGCAGTCATTTTAGCCGTTCATTTTTGTGTATAAAAAGTATGCTATCTTTATCACATACCTCAATTTTGAAATCTCTTAGACCATCTGTTATTGCTGTCCAAATTCTACCTTTTTTTTTGGATGATCTAAAATATGCATATTGGCTTCATACAGACTAAGAAGAGCCATTGTTGCGTTATCAGTCCATACAGCGCCTGTAATATATAATCAGCACATTCCAAAATGATATAGAAAAATAACTTTAATTTAAATATATATTCAAATATATATAATCATATATTACTTTTGTTATGTTTAATAGATTGTTCACTACTGCCTGTAGAAGCACATTCCAACTCTTAACAGATATCACATGCTGTAAGAGAATAGATTAAAGAAAATAATAACTATATTTCACAATGTATGCTTAGTATAAATTATGTATATGGCGAGTATTATATATTTTATATAAACATATTACAATTTTGTTGAAAAGAAATCTTTAAATTTTTTAAGTTAGAAATTGAGTTTTATAAATTATATTGTTGTAACAATAAATAAACTTACAATCATCGACATCTTTCTCATTATATGCAAATAAAACGTTATTACAGTCAACATATATTTCTTTATTCCTGAAACACTTATGGGAGGTTGCCATATTAAATGTAGGAATGTAGGCATTGCAGTATTTGCATAAAAACCCTTCTATTGTTCCT